TCATTTTACCTGGTATTCTTATAGTTATAACTTATGTATATTTTATATTATTAGTGTAAGTTAGAATGACCGATAGAAAAATATTTTAACATATATTACAACTACAGAGATGTATATATGTGGCGTACTCATGCATATTATGAGGATTACAACTTTTACAACTTTTTGAATCGTTATATTTCAAAAACGGTGGCTCATAGGAAAAATGCATTGATACATTTTTTGTAGATAATTTTATGATCTACAAATTTTTTCTGAAATATTTTTGTAATAAAACCTACTGTTTTATTGAAAATCGCGAAAAACTCATTTTTTGACCTTTGGTCTTAAATAAAAAATTTTCCATACAGGGTAAACAATCTTACTGATTTTCAGCTTAGTGGGAATTTATCTTTACTCTTATTTTTCGCTCTAATTTGACCGGACTGTAGGACAATAAAAGTCAGAACTAATTAAATTCTGAGTTTTGTTCCACTGGGTGCTTGTAATAGCTGAACATGTATTGTGTTTTTAGATTCAGATAATTTCAATATTCAAGTAAATTTTCAAACCATCGACCATCGGGAAGCAATTGTGTAGGTTTTCGAGAATGTTTTTTTTTAATATTTTTTACCGTTTTTGTGAACTTATAAACACATTATTCATTAATTATTCACACAACCTCCTCTTTTATTGTATATAACCCGAGCGGGCAAAGACCTCCAAACCGTACCGGTTTCCAATGTTCAATTTTAGCATTGATCTTGTTGTTCATGTCGAGACAGAAGATGGAAATAGGTGTGTAATTTATCCACAAATCGCGGAACTTACGTGAACAGTCGAAGAAATCGTACACCTCATTAAATGATTAAAAATAATTTGAAACTTTTCTACAATTATTGCTAATTATAGATAAACTTAAGTTCAAAACAGGAATACTTATTCGTTAATATATCTATTTTCCGTGCCGACTTCGAGTGCGACACATCCTAGGAAGGTAAGTGTTGTATTAGTTCACAAATACTGTTGAAAAGAGTTTCGAACAAAATAGTTGATCTAAAATGTTCTTTAGTGAAAAAATACCCCTAAAGTGTCATATGAATAATGTTTCATTCAACTATCAATTTTTTTCGGGCCACTTTGAGCAATTTTTTTTCTGATTGATACGGCCGTTACTTGATGAAGATACATAGTGATTTCATAAACTAGACCTTACGATTTGATTTCCACAAACTTTATTTGAAAAATATATCACGAGATGTTTCGCTAGCACAGTAGCTTCTTCAACAGTGATTTAAATACTACAAATTACTTCTTACGCTAATATTTATATACCACAGGTAACTACAATTGGGACTACCTCCATCAAATTACCTAAACCTCTACAATTCTTGTATACCTGAGGTACCTCTTCAATTATGATTACCTGAA